TTAGATTCGAACCCGTGAACCTCCATGTTAAAATCAAATCTCCAATACACACCCTGTATATAGGTACAAGGGTATAGGTACCCTGTATAAGGTGTCATTTACCACCCTATATATAAGTTAAGGTGTCATTTACCACTATAAACTCTATATCCATAACTGCTGTTGTAGCTCTACCAGCTAACGCGTACAACTACCAATCAAAAGACCCGAGTTCGATCCTTGGTCAGGCCAACACTTTTTATCCATTATTTAATTTATTTAATACAAACACCTACTGACGTCACGTGGTCAGCTGTGGTCAACTAATCAGCTGAGATCATCTCAAGGTCAAATTTCTGCTAGATCGCTGCCATGACTACTCCCTGTATGATCATTGTATAAATGTTGTTTATAGATGTTATATACTTTAGTTAAAATATATAAACATTAAAAATAAATTATAGCTTATACAGTTAAACAGATAATACAGTGTCAGTATACAGTTAATTAATAAAAATTTACTCAAAAACAAAAATAGCAGTTTATTTACGTTAGGTTTCTATTCCCCATAAGAGCCCATGTTAGACCCAACGTACCGCCCCTAACTACTGTAGTTGAATGGTTTCCGGAATAGTTTCGACCAAATTTATCGACATAAGATCAACTGCTGATTTATCATTCCATTAATTATAAAAATTATGAAAATTTGACGGGGTCCATACCCGGCATATCCTCAAAAACCTTTGGAGCCTGAGCTGCTTTCCTTTAAACATCTTTGCGATTAATTATCATTGGAGTACATTAGTAGACTAACAAAAAAGCAAAAACTCCTAACATCATACACCCATGTGTATAGACGTGATTCTTTAAGACCTATGAAGCCGATTATGAGATCCAGTAAAACAACTCCAGGTTTCGCAACAGACCCGTGTTAAGTAACAATCCATGTCAGGGTGGTAGCTACGATGAGGGGTGGGGGTTGGATGGTTGGGGGGGGAGGAGGTTTCCAACCAAAGTTGGCAAGGTGAGCTCGCCATCAGTTGGCCGGTTCATTAGACTCCTGTTGCTGTTGGCGTTAGGCCCTACATTTAGAGTTTAGTTTGAACTAGCGAGCACTGAACCTCTTTAACTGTCATTAAAACTTTTCTCCGGCTGTTTCGCCCACTTTGACCTGTAACCTTAGTTACATCTCACACGTCCAATGCCTCATTTGCTATCTTTTCACGCGTCTCACGCACTGCTGTCGTTAGATCCACTTCTACAGACCAACATTAGTCCTACAAGTTATAGTTACTACTGTAGAAGCAACTAGAGTTACATCTCACACGTCCGATGCCTTGTTTGCTATCTTTTCACGCGTCTCACGCACCACTGTCGTTAGATCCACTTCTACAGACCAACACTAGTCCTACAAGTTATAGTTACTACTGTAGAAGCAACTTTAGTTATATCTCACACGTCCGATGCCTCGTTTGCTACCTTTTCACGCGTCTCACGCACCGCTGTCGTTAGATCCACTTCTACAGACCAACATTAGTCCTACAAGTTATAGTTACTACTGTAGAAGCAACTTTAGTTACATCTCACACGTCCGATGCCTCGTTTGCTACATTTTCACGCGTCTCACGCACCGCTGTCGTTAGATCCACTTCTACAGACCAACATTAGTCCTACAAGTTATAGTTACTACTGTAGAAGCAACTTTAGTTACATCTCACACGTCCGATGCCTCGTTTGCTACCTTTTTAAGCGTCTCACGCACCGCTGTCGTGAAATCCACTTCTACAGACCAACATTAGTCCTACAAGTTATAGTTACTACTGTAGAAGCAACTTTAGTTACATCTCACACGTCCGATGCCTCGTTTGCTACCTTTTTAAGCGTCTCACGCACCGCTGTCGTGAAATCCACTTCTACAGACCAACATTAGTCCTACAAGTTATAGTTACTACTGTAGAAGCAACTAGAGTTACATCTCACACGTCCGATGCCTCGTTTGCTATCTTTTCACGCGTCTCACGCGCCGCTGTCGTTAGATCCACTTCTACAGACCAACATTAGTCCTACAAGTTATAGTTACTACTGTAGAAGCAACTTTAGTTACATCTCACACGTCCAGTGCCTTGTTTGCTACATTTTCACGCGTCTCACACACCTCTGTAGTTAGATCAACTTCTACAGACCAACATTAGTCCTACAAGTTATAGTTACTACTGTAGAAGCAATTTTAGTTACATCTCACACGTCCAATGCCTTGTTTGCTACATTTTCACGCGTCTCACACACCTCTGTAGTTAGATCCACTTCTACAGACCAACATTAGTCCTACAAGTTATAGTTACTACTGTAGAAGCAATTTTAGTTACATCTCACACGTCCAATGCCTCGTTTGCTACCTTTTCACGCGTCTCACGCACCGCTGTCGTTAGATCCACTTCAACAGAGCTACATTAGTCTTATTGATTGTAGCTTGTTCAAGAAGATTGATATTATCTAAACGGGGTTTACATTTTACGCTTTATGTATGATATTAAAAAGAGTTTACCCATTATATTCTATCACGCAATATAAAAAGGTTTATGTTATAACGAAGCAAGATAAAAAACATACATTTTACAACGACCCGAGACCTCATTATTTACTATTGAGTGCTCATGGAATCCAATTATGATGTATTACAAATCTTTAATTAAAATGTTGTAATTTTTTCCCCTATTCCCATTGTTATGAAACCCTACAACATTATTCATCGAATACATTATCGGTTAACTGCTTTTCGTCATGTTAAAATATCTTTTACCCATCACCAAAGTGGGTGATAAATTTAGTTAATTATTTCTGGCAATAATGCAAAAAGAAAATATTTAGATTTAGCAAAATAGAAGTAATTCGTATACCTTCATGGTTAAGCACAGTAAATATACGGAGGTGATACAAATTTACATGTTATCGGTATTCACTTATTGATACTTATTTAGTTTGTATGGTTTATATATTTTTATTCAATTGATAATCATTGCGGAATACAAAAAAAACATAAGTATCTATCATCGACATACATTTACCAGATTTATACATGAGGAGCAAATATAACGAATACACTACTAGTTTATACAGCTAAACACGTAATTTAAAAGAATATTATTTAAACAATGTTCACTGCACTTTGTTTAGAACTCTAGCAATGCCGTAATTAATTAAAGTTCACTAGTTAGTTTATAAATTAAACTCTCCCACTGATTCGAGACAGCCGAAGTTTTAACTAAGCGACGGCCTCAAAAGAAAGTTCGCCAGTATGATTGTAAAGAGGATTCTTCTTGTTTTATAATCTGAGAACCAGAGTTCCCCATGTAATTAATCATTACAGCGATTCAGCTCGAGCCAAAGTTTTATAAAGAACGATTAAAATGCCATCTTAATTAACGGGACGCGCTTGCAGTTTTAATGTAATCTTCTTTATCAATCAAAATATCATGTGACGTTTTATAAAAGGAGTAAGTGCATTTTAATTAAGATTAAAATCGAGTGTCAAGTTTTATTCCCATTTGACCGTAAACAAGATTTTCTAAAGATTTCCCCCAGTCTTAGTGATATTTTTTTTATTTTCTAGGTTGTTATCCACCAATAAATATGAGTTAAAATTTATGATTACCAAATATCGTGAAGCTTACATTTACCAAATTCCACAATAATAACTCAAAGAGCTTCAAATCACATTCACCAGCAATGGACTTTCAACTTAAAACCTAACCGGAATTTAGAGGTAATTCTTGTCGGGAGGTAGAACAGTATAAAGTGATATAGTGAGAGAGAATTGTTTATTATTGAAATGTTATACACTCTATTTCTCTAGTCTTGCGTTTTGATACTATATGTATTATTAATATGAGTCCAACCCATTCAAAGAGCTATTTACTATTCAACAGCATGGTCTTACTACCGTATACTTTACTAGCTATCGACGATATGTAAAAAATGTACTAAGCACATTACAGTGTTTTTAATGGTGATTTTGGTGGAACTAAGAAAGCTTTACTTGAAAGCAGACTTGAAGGTAAACTAATAGGAATGTTTTAATAACATTTTACTACTATTTACTTAAACAGTTTAAAATAATATTCAGTAAACTAATTGTATATTGACATCAGTAATACCGTATGTCGATATATTGTAGTAGTGTGAAATTTGTCGCGTCTCTACACCTTGGCGTAAAAAAGTGGCAAACGTAACAAAAAAACTAGGTCATCTCGCAAAAGGGTGGAAACTTCAAAATTATATTATCAACATGTATGGTTACATTAGCTATTGATGGTTTATATTCACACTATGTTTTGAAAATACATTAAATATGTAATAAATCCGAAATTCGACGATTTTTTACATTGGCTTGCAAAAAGAAAGACAAATGTAAAACCAGGATTTTTATCCAACAGTTTGTCTACAGGTTGTCTAAAATTTCTACAAACATATTATGTTTGGAAATGGTATTAAAGTACATTAGAAAATAGTGTTATCGTAATTTGCATGCTTTGACCGCACGAAATTTTACACCTGAACATAGAAAGAGGGGTGAACGTAAAATAGACAATCAGGTCATCTTGCAAACAGTTAGTTACTTAGAATTGAAATTATCAACAAGAGATAGTTAGTACAGCTATTGGTGGTTTACACACACAAATATGTTCTTAAAAATTCATTACATGCCTATGCAAAATATGAAGAGATATTCGACAAGACTTTTGACACCTTGGCATCCAAAAAGAGCGGCAAACGTAAACTTAACCAACGTACAAATTGAAGCGATCAAGATACAGTTAGCACAACAATGGGTGGTTTATATTCACAAAAGAGTGGCAATATATAAACCATCAGGTCAACTCACAAACAGGTAGTTACCCCTGAATGAAATTATCAAAAGGGTACATTTAGTACATCTATATTGGTATTGGACTCTGTGTAGCTTTGTACCACATGTTTTGTATGTCGGGTATATTTGTGGGAGGGTTGTGTAGCTATGTAACCTGTGTGGGGTGGTAATATCCAGAATAAACCCAAGACCGGCACTTGACCCGCACCAACCCGCACACTCAGAGACTAGCCTGGGACTGAACAGTGAGGAGAAAATACAGTCTCACGCCCGCTATTGATCCCACACCCAGGGCTGCCAACCCTGTACACGACCGTTAAATTTACCCCCAGTTTCCCTTTCGATACGTATACTTTCTATTGAGGAAAATGTATACGAGCTCGGGAAAACCGGGGGTGGGAGATAGGTTAAAATATCATTGGTTCGAGTTCAATTTTCAATGGGGGTGGAACATAAATGATAGTATTGGAAAAGTCATATGAAACCGGAATGGGTAATTTGATTCGTGGGAAAAAATGACGTTATAAATGAGTATAGTATCGAACTATAAGTACTAACTATCTGGATAAAGAGAAACTCAAGACAACTTATTATTTAATGGAGAAAGTAAAGAATTTAAAATTATAATTTACAAAGTTTCGTGATGACATTATCTAATGTACATACAACCATTTAATGTTACCAACTTAAAGTTAGTAACAAAAATGACCCAATGAGGCTAGGCGTGCCGTTGAATCAGCGACCACAGAGTACAAACTACAAAACAAATTTAAAATAAAATTTGTTCTATGTGGTCGCTGTGTTGAACACGAGACCCACATGCGGAATCAGTTTAAAGGATTTATATCATAGATACAGTAAAACATACTCCTTAAGTTTATCCTTACGAATAGATTGGATAACTTTCTCTCTGCCGAATAAGTTTTATTTGTGAATATGAACATGAATAAAAGTTAGTTTAGTTTAGTTATGAATTGAAATCAAAGTTTACGATTGTTTAAGCTAAAGGAGGTTAAAAATTAAGTAAAGTGGCAACATTTGTAAAGACAAATAATGGAATAATGCAAAGTCTATTCAATGTTTGGTATCTCCCTAAATAAAATTGTTGAGTATTTATATTTTAAGCAACTGAAATTTATTAACAGTAATTTTATATTTAGAATAAATTTTATTTTTATTTTACGATAAAAAGTGCAGGAAATAATATAAACCAAATATAAACATTTTTTGAGAGTCTGTTAATAGTGTATATGCAATATTAGGTAGTGAAAGTAAACTACAACTGAATATGCATAATAAAGAATTACGAAAATTGATCAATTTGATACAATAACTAACGTAAATCCTCCGAAAGTAGAATACAACGAATAGATCCTCAATCAGGTCAAATCATTAAAATAACACATTTCAAATTACATTCCCTATGAGGATGTGTAGGCCTATAATGATCTAATGAATTATTTTCTAATATTTTGCGGTACAAATATACAACAATTATAAGAACTAACACGAGGCTGAAAGTTCCTTACTTTCAGCACATAATCGGGTACAATTCCCACTTTGCCCGTCAACAAATTTGGCAGAGCCGGGCATCCAACAGTTGTGAATTCCACCCGCCCCCACACCCACCAATCGAAACATCCCCGTCTTATCTCGCATCGCAGAGTATTAATTTCATTTCACGATACTGTGGCCACGTTATAATCTGTCGGTTATATTGGCCTATTCGGATACAATTTGGCACGGGGATGTGGTGCTGACGTCTTGGTTATGGCTCAATATTACGGTTTGCGACAAGTCTTACAAGGGCTGTTTAATACTGGGGAATAATTTAATATCGTTAGTATTCCCCTACGAAGAGGATACCACTGTTGAATTATTTATTGTAATTCAACTGTAAACGCTGTCAAAGCTGTCAAAAACTGTAAAGCGGGGGAATGAAATGTGAAAATAAGGCCTAACCTATGCTCTAAAACATATGAACATATAGTCTAAGAGTTTAGGGTTAAACCATTTTTAGGGGAGATATTAAATAAAGGTTTACTTATTTTTTCATTTGATAAAAATATTACTCTTGCTAAGCTCTATTGGAATACACCTAGCGTGTAATCTTTATATAAAATAATTTATAATATAGGTACCCAAAACAATATGGGGACAATTTGTTCATAAATAGTGTGCATGGGGTTTTTGTATTATATTCTTGATAAAAATAAGAAGCTATAGCTTGCATAATTGAAAAAGATCGATATTAGAGAAAGAATATCATTACAATATCAAGGAAACATAAGTAACAATGATTCATGAGTATCACCCTTGTGACACCCTTGTGTAAACAATGATTCCTGGAGTTGGAAACATAAGTATCTGAATTCTAAAATAAAGTGTGAATTCTAATACTTTTATAGGGCTCCTCAGTTGGATTGCTCAACAATAAATTCTATTAATTTCATTCAATAGGATTCCACACAAAAAACCGTTCTTAAGAAGGTTGAATAACAATGATTTCGATTTACAGTTTTTATTAAGAACCGTCTATTGAGTATCATTCTGTGATGTATTAGTTATCATTTAAATTTGTATCGACTAGTACCTTGTCCCTTGTTACTGTGTTAAAATATGTAGAAAATAAATAAATGTGGCACTCTCTACGCTACTAACAATCCTTTCCAATCTAACCTCAAAAGTTTGTGTTTGGACAATGGCGGGAAAATAAACAAGGCAGTAATGAACCGCGGTAAAACTAGAGAGATTGCGTTAGACAAAAGCCACGTGATCTACACCAGTTCACCTCTAGGTTGCACTCATTAATTTTGTTTTATCTCTATTGGCCGTTACCTTACTTTTATTGGAACTAAACTAGCTAACAGGTATATTATTGTTAGCTATAGAAGAAAGTAAAATTAGTAAATATGTCTATAAGATGAAAATCATTATTCCTTACATTAATCGATTGTTGAAAAACGGCAAACTGACAGTTATACTCAAGGTTTCACAATTGTAGCTTTGGGTTCAAAATAATTAAAAGTTTGTAGTTGTTATGCTAGCTAACGACACATAAACAATGGACTAGTTAATTTGTATTTGAATAATACTTATATTACATGTAGTGTACAAACGTTGTTTTATAATACTGTTTGCTGTGAAAAAGGATTTTTAAGTGAACGAAATAAACTTAGCCTATTTATCATATCCCTACATTTATATAAGAAAATTTAAACTAAAAGTGAAGTTATACGTGCACCATAACACCCAAGTCCCCCAATAGTTACCTGCACCCATCTTACGCACTGAGATGGATAAATTTAAATTTCGGAAATTATAACTGGACAAAACAGAAAATCCGTTATGTTGCTGTGGCGCAATACTACAATTTCGATAACCAATAAGTAATATTAGTAAGTAAACTAACTCTAGTAACAATAAAGTAAGTATTAATAACTCTACCTTGTCGGCGTTATCATAGTACTGTATAAGCGAAGCTATTTTTCACATAAATGGCTTAGCACCTTGGATATAACTTTGTAAAGACAAAATCTTTTTATAGTTGTATTTGAGACGTCATAATAACGCAAAAAGTCAAACCATGGATTTTTGCTACTAAAGCAGACATCTATACTTATTTAATAAAATCTAAATGAACCAGTTGAAGCTAAGTTTTCAACCCAAAGTAAATCAAGTTGAATGACTCTATCCTAGTGAGTTGAATAATTCTATCCTATTGTGTGCAATCCTCAAAATTCTTTTCCTCCCTTGGTTCCTAATATTATAATACTTTATATGACTAAAGATATTGTATGGTCTACATTGAATTGACTTCCCTTATTTTTATTCTTAAATTATACAATTTGAACGTAGGATCCTAGTTATTTACTTCGTCAAAGATGATACTGAAGGTGGTTTTTCATAACTTAAATTATCTCTGGTGTCTAGCTGGCTAAAGAATCCATTCGATATTTTTGCGTAATACCATTCTCATTTCTCATCCTTATGGAACAGCTGAAGCCAATTTTATTGTTAGTTTTGTCCGGTGCACTGTAGAGGTCGTGTTTTGTTTACAACTTGTTTCTTGTTATTTCAGTAATTTAAAACCTCTTTACCAAATAAAATGATATTATCATAAACAATAACTCGTCTTTTAGTTATACAGTACAACCAAACAGTTAAGTACCAACCATGAAATTAACCCAAAAATAATACAAACACAATTTTGTCGATACTAGCGATCAGTGTCGCCAGACATGAACTAGACACGAAAAAACGAGGTTCAACGTTTACAATGGGATGAGAAATCTACTTGTGTTGATTAGTCTATAGTAATACCTAAGAGTGTCTTTCGTCACGAATGTGATCAAACTGAAAGCGGGATTGAAGAGATGAAGTTTTTATTTTCGCCGAGTTGTGCGTTTGACAACTCGCCAGTTGAAGTGTTAAGCCTTTGGCGAGTGTTCACAAAACAACGATCAGCTGTCAAGTGAACCCTTCATCTACCTCAGGTTGAAGACTGATTACCTAACTGTGGTTGGCTAACTTGATATCAGCTCAATGATAATCACAGTGAAGATTGTGGTCTTTAGTGGGTTAAAACTCGTGCTAGTCAGGGGTCCACGTAGGTAAATATATTAAAATGTACAAACAAATCAGTTGAGATAGGTTTTACATCAAAAATGTTGTAAAAGATAAATTTCTAGACTAGGATATTTTAAAATAAGAGTTAAATAATATAGGATCAAGATATCGTGATAGAAAGATGTTGAGTCTCGATGATAAGCCTAAAATACTGAACAAAAAAGTTATGCATGAAAAAAGGTTCCATTCGCAAGTTGAAGTTGTAGGCAACTAAACAATAAATAGAAAGTAGTAAATTCAACTAGTTCTAGTGTTCTGCTGTAAAATACTATTTCCCCCAATAAACTAACCTTCTCACCACTCTAAACCAAAAGATTAAACTAATAATACAACATATTTTATAACTTCTATCCAATGTACTACTATAGTATGAAAAACCAAAAGAGTAACATCAATAGTAACACACTCTATAAAAGAGATCAGTTCTCTTAGGATTGAAAACAAATTACAGTAATAAATTCATATGCCTGAAATTTCTACTTCAATGTCTGAAGTTGTTGTATCAGGTTTACTCACATGTTTTTTTACAATATAAACTTGTAATGCAAACTTCCTTAAAGAAATTCATAGCGTTCTT